TCGTAATTCGCGCAAGAACTCGTTCGCAAGGTAATGACTCTCTCGCGGCGTGTATCATCGTCAGCGTCCTTGTCGTCGTCGTAGTCGAGGAGTCTCCGGTTGTGACCTACAGACCCCATCACCGCGACCTCGTTCGCGGGTTGACAAACTGGCACGTTCCAACGAGCACATGGCGGCTACCGGCCGCGATTAGTACCGATCTCGTCGCCGCAGTCCCTTCCACTTCCGCCAATTCCGGTCCCCAACATTGATATTAATTCAAGTCACATTTGCAATAGAAAGATCGAATACTTTGTACGCGACGCGCTCTCAACGAGAAGTACATTGGCCTGTGTGGTACGCTCTTCGAATGACGATCAGAGAACGCTACATATTTTTCCTATCCTATTTTTTCTTTTTCATTTTTAAGTCTGTACAAATTAGAATTTTGCAACTTTTATTTGGAACTTTCTGAAAATTGTTTCTTTTATAATAATATTGTCACATTCGATGCAGTCGACAAGAAGCGTGCTCTCGCGATTCGTAAAGTAAACACGATGCGAGCGTATGACAACGAACGTATTTTATATTTGGGCAATTATACATTTGTGACATCTCATACTTATTGTACTGCAGCACGTAACGTGGAAATTTTGATGGCTACGGTGTGCTTTGCGGAAACTTTTGCTGCGCTGTGCCTCGTGGCGAAAGCGCGCTCGTAATTGTACCGGGTCGCGTCTCGACGACGAGAAAGTATAGCTGCTTGATGACGAGCCAAACTGTGCAATCTAACCCTTTTATCAGCTCGAGACACACAGCGGAAAATTTCCTTTGTAATTACATTTGCTGGAGACAAGAGATCCGTAACTGATATCTAAACCATGATTTCGCATGCTAGACTTTAGGCACGAATGTAAACTTTGTGCATGCAGACGCGGAAGGTGTAAAGCTTTTTACGAGGGTGGTCTGAAAAGTTTCCGACCTCAACGTGAAGATAGCAGCACTTGTAAATAAAAGCTAGTGAATTTCGTTGTTCATCTGTTGACAGTTACTCACCGAAGTTTCAGCCATTTTGGACTCGCAGTTGTTATGTAACAGTCGTTTGAGTAAGTTGATGTGAGTGTTTTTGTGAAAATGGACAAAATCGAGTATCGAGCTGTCATTAAATATTTG